GGCAGGCAAGGCTCCACTTAGGGTTTAGGGTTTAAAAGGTTTAGGGTTTAAAGGTTTAGGGTTCAAAGGTTTAGGGTTTAAAGGTTTTTTTCCCTCCCACTTAGCCAGGACGAGCCCGCATTGCAGGGTAGTTCGGGTAACAGAGGCAGCAGCAAGGTTGGCCACAATTCAACCAACCAATTAAAGAAAGCACTCATCAAGAGAGCTTCCACCAATTAATGAGGCCATCATCAGGAAAGCACGCACAGCTTCTATAGTGCGACAGTGGACGATTTAGGGTTTAGGGTTTAAAGGTTTAGGGTTTAGGGTTTAAAGGTTTAGCGTTTAGGGTTTAAAGGTGTAAGGGGGCTTGGGGGCTCAGGGCCTTCAGCTCAAGGAGTCTTGCTCTCGGGATTCAGCGGTGGTCTTGGGGATCAAGGCCTTCAGTTCTGGGACTCTCGGGTCTTGGGATTCCGGGCTTGAGGGCTGGGGGGTTTTGGGCTCTAAAGTCCGGATCTTACAGTTTAGGGCTCACAGGTTCTAGGGCTACGTGCTTCGCCAACCCCAAGCCTACCCTCCTCTCGGCAGAAACCCCTGCAGTGCCATCGGGGAAGGCGGCAAATCCCATTTTCGCTGGATATCTCTCTGCACCTCTTCCTCGGCCCCATCAAGGGATCCGATCGTTCCCTGAAGATCTACCGGTTTAGTGGTGACTGCAGTTATTGCTGGTTTTGTGTGTTATCGATCGTCGTCATCATCATCATCACCATCACCATCATCATCATCATCATCCGCATCATCGTCATCACCATTGAATCATCATCATGTTTCTCTTTACCTCTGCTTTGTATCTTGCCAGGGGGCGCGAAGTAGCCCGAGGTGAAGACCTTACTTTCAATCCGCACACCACGATCTCTCAACCGTTCAAACCCAGAACTTCTGATAGAATTTGTCAGGTCGATCACAAGCCCGCGGTTCAAAAATACAGGCCGGCTCCCAGCCGACGTTTGAAACAATAATCTAATAAAAAGAACTGCAACCAGATATCCTACCTGTTCTCCAGAACCAAGGACCTAGGCCCTAAACCAACCCCCCAAAAAAGATCCCTTGTAAACAGAGCCCCTTTGGAAAAAGCCCATCCCAAAAAAGCCGAGGAGCCCCGGCCGGGTAGATGACCCAGGAGGAGCCCAGGAGGGATTCCTCTAAGCTCGGCATGGCCGTTGCTTGCCGGGGCAAGGGCTCCAGCCTCGGATGTCCATGCTCGGGGTTGAGGGTTTCGGGTTGAGGGTTTAGGGTGTAGGGTTTAGGGTCTAGGGTCTAGGGTTTAGGGGGTTCAGTCCTTGAAAGTCTCGGCCGTTGCAGCTTCAGGATGGAACTGTGCAGGACTAGCAATGTCCTGCCTCTTTGGGGGAGGGCGTAGAGCGTAGTGTTCAGTCCCGCAAGCATGGAAAGTGCTCCCCGGTTAAACCTAGTCCAGGAATCTAGGGTTGCATGATTTCCGTGGTTCTATAGGACAGAAGCATTGTTATATAAGCCCGATACTCAGAGTTGGTCTAGGTTTGGTGAGGTGTGTAAGCACGTTTAAGATCCGACAGTAGTGCCTGCCTAGCCGCACCACTCCTTCCCAGTCGCTGATGCGGCTGCCGTCGTAGGACCACGGCGGAGCTCGGCCGATAAAAGATCGGATCTTCACCAAACCGGATGCCACGGCTTCGTCGATGGCACGATGGACCCCAGCTGTGGTTCCGTAGTCATCCAAAACAATGGTCCGCACGTGAGGCAGGGCTAGTGCACGCTCCAGGTCGCTTCGCACACTGCCATAATCGTGTGCAGCATCGATGAATACTGCATGGATGGGTGTCTGGGAAAACAAGGCCCAGTCGTCCATGACACTATGGAATTTCATGTATACTACGTTTCGGAGGTCCTCGTTACGAGCTGCATTGTTCTTCAGCACTTGGAGAGAGTTTTCCAAGGCCAAAACAGTGCCGAATAGCCTCGATAGGACGCGAGTACAGTGTCCCAAATGCGCCCCAACTTCCAGCATGGTTTCATTGCGCGAGTTGTTGAACAGACTCACCAGGTCAAGTTTAAATTGCGAAGAGGTTGTCCAAGCATCCACGTTCTTGTCATGGAGCACCTGTGCACCAGCAGAATGCCAGCTGAGGAACTCGGTCTGATGACTTTAGAACGCAACCCCCTTCTTGGTGCGAACATCCTAAACAGGCCCCAATCTACGCCCTATCAAAAGGATCCCCGGACTTTCTGAGGCGAGCCACGTCTTTTGCAAGCCTCGGCTGTGTTGATGAGTATCAGAAAACGGGCGGCCCGGTCACCACTTTCTGGAGTCAATGTAAACACATCTGCCTTTTATATTTGGCTGCAAGATGTAGATGCACACCTATACACAAACTGATGTGACAAAGACATGACTGCAAACACTTTGCATGCATCCCGGCATACTTCCAAACGGGGCTGGTACTTTTTGTGGGCAGGGGCCCTAGTATAGGGGCCATGCTAGTACTACTTAGAAGAGGGGCTGGGGGTGTACAGTTTATTTATATAAAGACTACAAGGGGGATGCTCTTGCTAACTATTCAAACCTCAGTTTCGGTTTGCCTCCTCGGGGATGTGTACCCATTCCAATAGTGATACCAATACCAACACGGAAAATACAAATACTAAAACTACTAGTGATATTAATGCGAATATGAATGCGGATACGGATGGTACGACTACTAATCGTAGTCCTTGGACAAGGGAACAGGCCGCGGGCCAGGGCCTTGGGGACAGGTAGGCTGCGCTTTTCGTGATGTTTTACTCAGCGGCTTCAAGTAAAGAAGCGAAAAACTCCCTTTTGTAAACCGGGAGCTTGGTCTTTGCCCATAAACCTTTTTACAGCAGGCCTCGTACACAGCAGCCAGGTCCCCAGCATCACTCGCTCACTGTAAGGCGAGCATCAACCTAAACCCTAAACGAGTACCCGGGGAGCAGAAAGAAGAAGAAGGAGAAGATGAATCTGCACGACGGTCACCATCATGAGAGAGAAGAGCAACCGACTTAAACTCGGAGGAAGAAAAGCCTCCCAAGCCGCACACCAAGCATGACTTCAGAAACTTCAGCCTCAAAGGATACGGACACACACACACACAGACACACGTGCGTGTACACATACATACACGACATACATACCTACCTACATACATGCATGCATGCA